GTTGTAAGATTAAATTTCTCCAAAACTTCATAACTCATAAGTAACAACACCTCTCTTCCAAAATATGAATTTTTGAATAACTAATCGAAGGAATTTTATTCATCCCGTCACTTTTCTTCTTTTGCTATTGAAGAACTGTGAGGGTCACTTTGAAAGGATGGTAGGAAACAAATCAAGGCGTGATTTTTCAAACTTTAAAATTATGGCATGAGATCTTCCAGGATAAATGAAAAGTCTTATTCGAACAAAAATTTTTCACTAACAAAATTATTGATCTATAGTACCTCAATCTACAGATCTTTGATATCCTGATAAACAAGCATCCTAAGTACATCATCTACCATGATATGAAAGGGAATGGGGAGCTCCTGTAGTTCTCATAGACTCTCACGAAGGGCCCATTCATTTTTCACTTAAAAAAATCTGACAAAGAAGTTTCTTAATGTTCTTTCATTAAAAGATCTAGTAATTTACTTTTGAAAGAAATACAACCATACACATCACCGATAAACCTGTCTATCCGAGCCAAAATCTCCAATGTTAGTTTAGCCCCACGCTTTCTGAAAATGACAATCAATCCAACAACAATCATCATGGCCCGACAAAAAAACTGAGAAACACAAACCTCGGTTAACTATAGAACATACTTTAATTCAGGCACAAGTAGAATTGAAGGCTAACATTCAAGTTCACCTCATAAATTGTGATATATCTAGGTGGAAACGAACAAGCTCGATCAAACCTATTAGAGAACTTAACCGCTATAGGACTCTAAAAATAGAAGAATTTCACGGAATTTGTAGACAAAAATTCAAAAAAAGGAGAAAAATTCAAATTTTGAAGGTTCAATTTGCTGGCGAAGCCTTGGGTGAATATGCGTGCTCATGCACCCATACAAGTGCATACAATACGCAGCTGCGTGCGCACGCAAGCTAGCATGCAGGAACAGTTTGCTAACCATTTTGTGAGTGCGAATGATTACACAAACTCTCCGGCCCGCAAAACTGCTAACCAACGTCCACGTGCACCCACACTTGAGCACCTGCACACACCTCCGCGTGTGCCAATGGCAAGCACAAGCGAGAACCCCGCTCCAGCAGAGCTCATGTGCATGACCGCAACCTCCTACCCGCACACACACGTGCACGCCACCGCACAAGTACACACCAGCGTACTCCACCTTAAACAGAGGAGCATCCATGAGGACCTATACTTTCACATGCGCCAAGTACACAATTATTGCCAAAAGTGGCAACAACGGCATAATCAAAGGTTTTTTCAGAAATATTTGTTCTGCTATTTTAGACATTCCGAACTAAATTTTGGCCTTTTTAGATCTCCACAGAGCATCCATGACAACTCAAATCTCTTGAAAGTAAGAAGTTTTGTAATATCTGAAATTATGTTAAATACTTCTCAATAATAATTGCATATTTCAGACGACAAAAGCGATGAAAATAGAGAACAATTATTGTATCACCAAAAAATAATATTCAGATCAAACACAAATCTTGATGCATATTTTATAAGAGATCTTCCAAATTCAAATTAATTATCATCCAAAATTTGATTTCCTCAAATTTATAATCAAACTAAGCATCTCGGTAAGAGGAACCCATATTTCAATCCAAAACCAATCAAGCTCTAATCAAGTCGTTGAAGCTGAATATTAATTGAATGGTCAAATGAACTCCAAATTTGTCATATTTATAGTTAAATTGAGTGTCTTGACGAAAGGAATCTAGCGAGCCTAAAATCGCTCAATTCTGAGATTATTAAAAAATTAAGGTCCTTCAAAAATCACCTAAGATCAACGGGGGTCAACATGAACCGTTCAATCAAGTGGTTAGGAAAGTTATGTGACAAAAAACCAAAGTGTCTCCTCAAAAAACTATAAATAGACTCCCTTCTTCACTTGGAGGGGCAGGAGAAGAAGAGAATGAGAAGTGAAATTCCAGAGTCTGAGCAGGAGAAAAGACCCAACAAGTAACCAACGACTTCCGTAGTCACCAACCACCATCGATCACTGGCCTTCATAGCCACCGATCATCGTCAACCACCACCCACAGTCGCCACTGACCGTCGATCATCGGGGCATTACTTGCAACTGTTATAATCAGACTACGATTGTTGTTGAATTTCCAAACACTTATATTTTTTAGCTATATAAAAAAAAATATAATTTTTAGTAGAAAATTGCAACCCTGTTCTCCCTGTCATTAGAGAAAAGCAACCCCTGTAATTGAAAACATATAGTGGATTACTTTTATTTGGTAAAGGCATGTAGTTTTTTCCCTTTCAAAGCTTTTCCCATGAAAAAAAATTTGGTGCCTCCCTTCACTATATTTTTTAATCTGTTATGTGTTGAATTTTCATACAATGCTAAGATGATAAATTATCACTCTAGCGTCATAAATTTTCTAACATTCAACAAGAATATTATTGCATTAACCTATTTAAAATTAATTTCCAATGTTAAATTATTTGTACTAAGTTAATTTAATAATACAATTCCCTAATTTATATTATTGTTCACATGATTAATGTCCTGCAACATATCAATTGACAATTCCACTAAGCAATATAAATTTTTTAAAACCAAATATATTAACAACATAATGATATGGATATATTTTGACAATAGATTAATAAAAATGGGTAAAGAGATAAAACAAACAGGAACACATATGTCCAAGATAACAATAGCAAGTCAAAATGCACATGCAAAGGATTAGACAAAAGAGGTTATAGTTTTAAGATCTAAAAATATAAATTTTTCATAAAGGTATACCTTACTTCTAAATCTCAACTTATACTATGGATAAAATGTTCAAGTAGATATATGTCGTTTCCCACGCTCGACTCTGCTAGGGTTTCGAGCCATGTCGAACCCTAGCAACCCTTACCGCAAGATCTTTTCGCCGGCGTCGAAGCCGACTTCGTCGTCCCTCTCCATCGTCGTCGTCTCTCCTCTCGCGTCTCGTAGTCTCTGTTCGAAGCAAACTGCGGCTTGCGTCGTCGTCTCTCCGACAGATTTCACATGTCGCATCTCGTCGTTCTGTATCTCACGGAAGATGGGAAGGTGTCGCAGCGCCAACGTCGTCGCCTTCCGCCAGAGGGTTCGCGGCTGCCTGCGTCTGTTGTGTCGATCGACAGCTTGCTGAAGAAATGACTTCTGGACGCTCCCACGCCGCCGCCCTCGCCCGTGCGCCACCCACGCCAGTGATAACCTCGTCTACGCCCCTCTTTTGAATAGGTTTCCGCAACGATACCACAACAATTTTGCTCTTGGCATTGAAACCGGATTTCTCAAAAAAGCTTTCCGTAAAAACGACAAACCTGCAATCTTTCTCACTGAGGCAGAGATCTCCACCTTTGCTGCGCCCTGCCGACTGTTCTTAGTAGGTAAGTTTATTTATGACAACCCTAAACTTGAGATAATTCGAAAGGACTTTGAGCAAATGAAGCTGAAAGGGGGTTGGAAGATCGGTAAATTGGATGGTCGTCACATTCTTATTCAATTATCAAATGACGAAGACTATACTCATTTGTTTGCGAGAAGAGTTCTTCGAATAGAAAACCAGGTGATGAAGGTTTTAAAATGAACGGTGGATTTTGACCCTCATACTGAACCTCCTACCATTCCTGTTTGGCTGTGCTTCCCAGGTTTGAAGATCCACCTTTTTGATCAAGAGCTTCTCTTCGCTTTAGCGATGGTATACGGTAAACCCCTCAAAGCTGACACGCCTACAGTGAATCTGACTCGGCCTTCAGAAGCCAGAATTTTGATAGAATGGGATATTACCTTACTTTTTCCGGGAGAAATATGGATTGGCACACAATATCAGAGATTTTGGCAGCAAGCAGAACTTGAACAAATATCACTTTATTGTACCCACTGCTCTATGTTTGGACATTCTCCTTCTCAATGTTATCAGTTGCATCCGAATTTAAAACATTCAAGTAAAAGCGCTTTTGGATCTGCCCCACCTCATACATGTCCCTCCACCGCTCCTGAGTGCATTTCACAGACTATTGAAACACCGGTTGACACGATGCCACCTCTCCCTCCCACTACCGGAGATAATACTGCCTCTGTTCTTCCGACTGATATATTGGCAGATGGTTTACTTGGGTCCGATAATTAGGATAGTGTTGAAGCTCCACATCTCCAGGATGCAACAGGTGTTGAAGAGACATGTTTACCATCTCTTCAGAATCAAAATATTATTACTGCTAGTCAGGAGCTGGGGGCTCATTCTCTCCTACATGGCCAACAATCTGTTGACCACACCGATCAGATGAGTCGGTCCTCAGATGAGGAATGTCAGGTATACACATCTAGAAAGAAAAAGAAGAATGGAGGCACACCCCAACTTGGGAACTTAATGGATATTGGGAACTTAATGGATGATACTCTAGTAACTTCGGGTAATGGAACGACACTCAGCAATTTGTTAGCTGTCTCCGCTCCTAGAACTAGAGATAGAGGCAAGACCAGGCTAGCTCGTGCATAGCAGCTTATTTCCTGCAAGTTTTGTTTTTTATTTTTTATTATTATTTTTTTTATCTATGTTTCATCCTTTTAGGATGCTAGTGTCTGATGTATCGTATGGGTAGGGTAACTTTTTTTTTTGGTCCTCTTATACAATCTCTATGTATCTTTTCAATGTCAATAAAATTAGCCCTTGGGCGTTTATAAAAAAAAAGTATGGTTCAAAAAAATCAACATACAGTATAAAATCAGGCAATTGAGACAAACTACAACATAAATATATGCACATTATACATCAAAACCTGATAATAAATGTTAATATTGCACAAGATAGATTATTAACACCTGAATTAACGAAATATTAGCACCTTAACATTATTGATGATGGAACTTCTTATATTCTGCTACACGGAGGGTTTAGCTTATTGTGATAAACTGCAACAATCTAATTTGCTAAGCCTGTAAAAGGAACATTACATGGTTCTGCATAATTAATACTGCTCACCTTATCTGCATTCTTATGAGATTCTTCAACAGCTTTTGTTAATTCTTGTACACGTTTCTCGTAAATATCGGGGCTCGATGACTTGACAGGATGAGCTGAATCCTCTTGAGGGGATCCTGCAGAAACATTCCTTGCTTTTGAGTACCTACGCAGCATAACATCGTTTATATGTGTTTGGAGGGCTACACAAATTTCCTCCCCCTGCAAAGTTTAATCAAAGACAGAACACTTCAAGAAAGATTCACCTCCAAAATTGAACAAGTCTAAAGGAATTGGACAAATAAATAAACATACATACATATATTTAATATATATATAAATGTATATATATATATATATATATATTAATTTAAAGGAATGGCCGAAGGCTATTTGACGAGCCCCGGCCATCCGTGTGCTAAATATGACCTGCTTTGTTTCAAATTGAAAAATATGAAGAACGCCAGCAACCCTCATCTTAAAGAAAACAGCTGCGTTGCTGCTACCAAATTGCATAATATCTCTAAGCTCTGAAGAGTGCAAGTACTCCTTTGGAACTGGACGAAAAAAATGGACCTACACAGCAATAAAAAGAAATTTATCCTGATCACAGTAGATATCAGAAGTGTTTGAGGCATTGTAACTAACCCCACGCTTATTTATGCCTAAATTAACACGACCAGGTAGAAGACCTATTGGATCATCTATCTTCCGCACGCTGAAGAAAACTGAGTTTCCATAAGGAAGACCATGAAGGACCCTAAGAAACTGCTGCCTTGCATCATCCTTCGACAAGTGCGCCTGCATGGATTAGAAAACAATGTAAGATGTGAATAATGAAAACTTAAAATTTTTCATGTTATCGCATTCGTTTCTAGCAAAATGTTGCTGAGCTGTTTCGTACAAATCAAAGACAAGTTACTCTCACAAGAGATGAACTACCTGCTCTACAAGTTTCGCCATGGTCATAAAAACATAGGTTTACAAATTTGTACTAAATAAGTCTTTTTGAAAAGAAAAGAACTAAGTAACAGCTGAGGCCTTAATGCTTGATATTAAATGAAATTTCATTAAACAGTACCAAACATTATGATGAATCTCAATTTGGCTATCATAGCTAAATAAATGTGTAGGCTTCCATCTACTCTCTGAGAAATGTTAAACAGATAGCGGATCACGAAAAGATGGATGATAATTAACATTTCATAATAGCACGTACACTAAGCGCCCCATTCTAAGGAAAATAAATTTTTTATTCAATTGCAGTGGGTGAATTATAAAGTTTTCAAGGATTATGTCAAAAAAAGTATATTGCCATCAAATATTTTATTGGAAAGTAGAAGAAAAAAAGAGCAACTTACGAGTCGACTAACTAAATCATGTTGATGAGAAGATAAATACAAGATAATTGTTTGTAAAATGATGCAATTTAAAACTTGATATTACTTCGAAAATAGCATTATCTAATGACAGAGTAGTTACCAACAAATTATAGCGAGAGAGAATCTCAAGTTCCCATTCTCTCTTTGCCCTCGTAATTGCAATTTGCCGTGGTAAAAATCTTTCAATCAGCGAAACCCACTCACTGTAAAGAAAGCCATTGTTTTAAAAGAAGTCCTGCATTAACAGATCATATATGGAAAAGGAGAAATGCTTGATAACAACTATTGAATGACAGATTTTACTTGGTACTCACACACATTTATCAGGATTATCAAGAAATCCAATTTCACATAAAATTTGAAGAGCAGATAATTGAGCAGCATCATCCCTGCCAACTGGATAATTTCCTAAAACATAGTCATGTTGCAACTGCGAAACAAAAAGAATGATATACTAAGCTAATTATCAAAAGAATTAGACCATCAAATCCAAAATGCTGAAGGGTATATGAAGTGCATTGTAGAGATTCTGAATTAACATACTTGAACATAGGACAGCTGCATAAACATAAGATCAGTAACAGCTTCATCTGACTCCCGAAATAACCTTTTCTTAAATGTAAGTTTACAATGCAAAATTTCCCCTTTACTACGGTCTTTGACTGCTTTAAATTCAGCCAACAAATCCCCGATATATTTGTTATCGTCCAACCCAAAGAATTCCTCTGCATAAGAGCTTAGTAAGTCAACTGCCTTCTTAAATCTTTATTTTAAAACATAAGGAATAGGTTTGAGGTGTGGAAATAAAAAATTAAGATCTGAAATATTACCATGACCAATGTCAGAAGATTTTGCGCCTTCTACAACCTTTCGACATTCAAACAAACTAAAAGTAGAATAGTTCAAAAGTTTGATTATGCTTGCAAGCTCCTGATTAAGATAATAGTCCATGAGCAACATACAATTCATACACGAAACAATTATAAAATTTATTTTCATAAAGAAAGCACAGTAATAATCAGAGAGAGAGAGAGAGTTTTGGGGTATAGTGGCAACAAATAAGCAATAACACAATGTAGAGGGGAAAGTAACCATGCTTTTCCGTCATGGAGTTTAGCAAATCAATATTAGCGGTGCAAAGGTTAGATCCATAAGTTATGGTAACACACGGCATCATTTCTTGTTGTTATCACCTTATAATTCAACTATTGTTCATGTTAAGAACTCCAAACTGAAATTGTAAAAGAGTAGCAACAAACAAAAAGCAACACAAGCCCATCTCATTTATAATATGGCCCATTTTAATTCAACTGCTTAGTGTAAACAAATGATGGAGAAAACAAAATCTCTATAAATGCAAGGTATCTAAGGGTCTCCCAAGGCATCTAAGGGTCTTCCCCAACTAACGAGCAAACATTAACGTTTGTTACAATCTTCTGGGAGTCTGAAACTAAAACGAACTAAAAATGCATGTCTCCCCTCTATTATTGAATGCTCCCAAAGTGATCCGTTGTCAGCTTAAACTAGATCTGAAGTGGGGGTAATCCGAACTCCTGCAGGGTGGCACCGGTGGTAAGATGTCGACCGTGATATCCTGAAATACCCTCTACATGCATGTCCCATGTCTGAAGTTAGTGTCTCAGTCGTAGCATACATTCGTCACCAAAACTAGTCTCACCAATATTGCTCTACTGGCAAGGGCTCCTGTGATCTCGAGGACCACCAAAGGAAGTAGAATGATGTGCTTCCCATCATTGGTGAAGGAATGTGTTTATGATTCCCTCATGTTGAGTCCTTCGATCAAACTGTCATGGTCTCCCCAACAAAAAGTGACCAACAATCACAGGAACCACGTCACACCATACATGATCCTGTATGTAACGCCCATTTTCAGTTACCCGAGAGAAGAAACGAAGGAAAGAATGAGGAGAAATGACGAATCGATAACCGAAGAAGTGAGGAGACAAGAAACCGAATAGAGGGGAGAGGAAGTGAGGAGTCGGAAATGAAGGGATTTCTTCATACTATAAATTGAAGAGTGGGGAGACAAGGGAAATCATCAGATCGACTTACATGGAGAGTTGAACGACGAGCACGAGAGACGACAGGCGCAAGTTAGGGCTTCCCCATACTTTGATTGAAATTGAGGGCGGCGTCAGTGGCTGACAACATCTCTATCGAGCAAAGGAGAAGGCAGTATCGATACCATGCAGAGAAGAAGAGGAAGACATAAGGCTCATGCAAGAGAGCAGAAGCCGAGCTCTGGATCAGAGGTCGCTTTGCGTGCTGAGGGAAGAAATTTTCTCACATGGACTAGGGCTCGACTGAGATAAGCTTTAATAGATATTAAAATAAATATATATATATATATATATATATTAAATAGGTCAAAAGCTTATATACGCAATAGATATTAAAATAAATATATATATATATATATATATATTAAATTGGTCAAAAGCTTATATGCGAGCTCCCTGACCAACCTTATATGCCTAAGAATTTCATCTGACACAAGCGGGATCAAACCTGTGACCCCAGGGGCTATTTGAATTTTCATAAATATATATATAAGTAGTAGAATGATGATATACTATGCTCGCGCTCCGCTCTGCTAGGGTTTCGCCTCACGGCGAACCTTAGTGTCTGCTACACGATTTCTCGCGTCGTATATCGTCTTCGTCGTCGACGTTTGGTGCTCATGTCATCGCGTTGTCGCATTTCTGGCGGCAGAATTGTGCTTCGCGTTCGTCGAGTCGTCTCACCGTGCTGCGGTCTGGCGGCAGAGCTGTTCGTGCTTCGTGTTCGTGTGGGCCTTGCGCTCTAGCGTCAGCTTGACAGCTGAGCCGGGTCTCAGCTCGACACTGCTCTGCTCGACAGCTGAGCAAGGTCTAAGTCAGCCGTCTGTTGCTTCCTTGTAGTGTCTTGACTGCCTTACTTCATGGCAGCTTTTCATTCCTCTCTTGGGACTGAACCTACTTCGGAGGTGGGCAAACTCTCCTATGCTACAGTGGTTCACAAACATAGCTCCCCTTTAAACCTCGTCGATAGTGCTGTATTCCCGCAGATTTACCATGATTTTGTTGCAGGAAATGACGATTGCAATCTAATAAAAAAAGTTGAGCAAAAAAGCATGAAAATGGCGGGCAAACCAGCAATTTTATTCTCTGACGCTGAAATTTTAACTCATGCAGTAAAATACAAATTTACTAGTTGGAAAGTTCCAATTAGATTGCCCTAAGATGGAGATCATCAGGAAATATTTTGAAGATTTCAAACTGATTGGGGATTGAAAGGTGGGTCATTTCGACGGAAGACATGTTATGATACAGCTGAGCATAAAAGATGATTATACGAGGATTTTTTCAAAGAAATTCATCACAATTAAGAGCAACCATATGAAATTGCTCAAACGGACCCCTAATTTTGATGTCAGTTAAGAACCGTCAATTGCACCTATCTGGTTCTCATTACCTGAACTCAAGCTTCATTTCTTTGACCTACCTACCTTATATGCAATTGAGACTATCCTTGGAAAACTTTTGCAGGTAGACACACCTATAGTTCCAGTTCATTTTCCTGGGCTCTCTATTGCAAGGATTTTGATACACTTCATTTTCCTGGGCTCTCTATTGCAAGGATTTTGATTGAACGAGATATTACACTACCAGATATAGAAGAAGTCTGGCTTGGATCTGCTCATAATGGTTATTGGCAAAAAATCATTATGAAACAAATTACTACTGCAGGCACTGCAAGATGTTTAGACACCTGCAGGAGAAATATTTTAGATTGCATCCACAGTTGAGAACCAATAGTTAAAAATAAGAACACACTATTAGGGCACCCCATGTGTCTAAACGCACTCCTAACAAACCTGATGACAGCCAACCTGAAGAGGGAATCACCACAAGATAGTTGGTATCTACCCCTGGGATCCCTTCTTCTGACCATACTACAACGGATAATGTTCGAACTGAAAATTAGGATAGTCTCGCAGCTCCAATTCAGGAAGCGTCAGGTGCAGAGGTAACAATTCACACTTCACATAAACTGAAACCTATCGTGGTGACAACGACTGTCTTTCCTCTTACTGCGGTTCTAACACCAAATCAGATCGAGGATTGCATGAGTCAGTCTCAGATGAAGAATGACAGGTTTACACTTCTCGGCAGAAGAAGAAAGACTGGAGGCACACTCCAACTTGCAAATTTAATGGATGATACTCTGATTAGTTACAGCAATGACACGACTCTTCAAAGTTTGTTATCTGGCTCCGCTCCTAAAACTAGAGGAAGGGGCAAGACTAAACTGGCTCATCCCTAGCTACTTGTTTTCTGTATGTTTTAAATTTATTTTATATTTTATTGAGTTTATCTGTATCTTTTAGTTGGGGTATTACTGTACTTGTATCATATGGGTAGGGTCTTTTTTGGGCTCTTCTCATACAACCTTTATGTACTCTTTTTATTTCAAAAAATCAGCCCTCGGGCTTTTCAAAAAAAAAAAAAGTAGAAGGATATAAAGTGAAGTATGAAAATTTTCTGATTAATGTGATGTTAATATTTAATTAAAATAACAATTTATTTTTAAGTTTTGTAATGTGAACACCATATTTACGTTAGGTTTCCACTTTAAAAGAGTCAACATCAGAGCAAATCTTATTGAATTAAGCATTATTAGGGTGAGTACTCGTTTTTTTAATCTATAGTTATAATTTGTTTCTTCATAACTATTTTGTAGTTAATGACATTTGCACATATTTTATTCCGATTGAAATATTTTTTCTTATCGATCATATTGTTATCAATAGTTGTAGTCATTTACTCTCATACATTTGATGTATGTTTTATATAGTATTATGAATTGAATGCGATGAATGATATATGTATGTTGATTGTTGTATGTGTATGACTGACTTTAATAGAGTTACCTCTTAATGGTACTAGTGTGGAAACACTAACGTACTCGTGCACGTATATGAAAAAAATATTGATATTGATGTCTTAATTCACAATTTTAGATGTTGCTTCTCTGATAGTTGTACAGATATATAACAATATTAATATGTTATTAATATAGTAAAATTCTTTAAATAACATCAAATATTTATTTTTTTTTATTAAAAGTTTGACTGACATACATATTACTTATTTTTATCTTGTATTACTGTGATTTATAAGTATGAATATTCACTAGCATTGTTTAGTTTGCTGTTATTTTAAAATTAACATTTCAGATTCAATTAAGTGATTTAAAAGATAAACGATAGAAAAGAGAATGTATATAGAAGATGCGAATAACCAGTAACGAGGTAATTTTAAATATATTACTTTACTTCATTTTGATTAGTGACTCTTTCATCTTTTAAATTCTAGACAAATATATAAAATTTAGTTCTCACCATACGACCGTCAATTCTCGTCCCACGGACTAGGTCGTAACACTATAGTTAGCTCCCGATTGAAAACTCCATTAGGAACCTCCAGTCAATGATGCCTCCATTCTCTTGCTTCAGCCAAGTCCGAGAATATGACTGAGAGTGACTATGAGTCACGAGATCCGATTTCTCTACCATCTACTTAGAAGTCACATTCCTACTGCTCCCCATGGATGATGAGACTGCATACGTTTTTGTTCACCATGCAGCGGATGTAGAATATGTTGTGACGAAGCCACTATGAATCTGTTGTGACGAAGCCACTATGAATCTGTTGTATCCTCAGACTATGACCCGTCGCACCACAAGTGCCTCTCCTTCATCTAGTAACAGATGATACCTCTCCTTATTCTTCAGCTTTCTCCTCATCGCTAACCTCCTATATGGCGCCCTGTTCGGTAAATAACACGACTCAACTTATCGGGTAGCTAGAGACAATAAGCCCAAATTCGTGGTATCTGAAGCATTTTCTAACGGGAACTACAATATG